TCCCAATTCCTTTAATAGGACTTCACTATGAAATAGTCACAACTGTGAGAGGGATCTTGGAGTCCTAGTGGACAATGACTTGAAGATGAGCCAGCGGTGTGTGCTGCAGCTGCTAAAAACAGCGAATGCAGGTCCTAGGCTGCAATAATAGAGGGTTAGAATCAAGATCACGTGAAGTGTTAATACCACTTTACAACACCTTGGTAAGAAATCTCCATTCCCTCTCCACTTGGAATATCGCGTCCAGTTTTGGTCGCCACAATATAGAAAAGATGTTGAGACTCTAGAAAGAGCGTCGAGAAGAACAACCAAGATAATTAGGGGACTGAAGTCTAAAACATAACGAAAGGCAGTTGCAGGAACTGGGTATGCCAGGGGTGACATGATGTCAGTGCTCCAACATTTCAGGGGTTGCCACAAAGACGAAGGGAACAACGTATTTTCCAAAGCACCTGAAGGCAGGACAGGAAGCAGCAGATGGAAACTAATCAAGGATAGAAGCAACCTGGAATTAAGGAGAAATTTCCTGACAGTTAGAACAATTAGCCAGTGGAACAACTTGCCTCCAGAAGTTGGGAATGCTCCAAAGAGATTTGGGCAACCATTTGTTTGAAATGGTCTAGGACCGTGATGGCGAACCTATGGCACACATGCCACAGATGGCATGCATAGCCATTTGTATAGGCAAGCGAGCCCCAGCCAAATTTACCTGCACTGGGCATGTGTGCGCCTCCCATATGATTTTCGGCCTGTTTGAGGCAGTTTTGTGACCCATTTGGAAACTTCTGCAGCCTCAGGAGGCCGAAAAAAGGGGCCTTGAGGAAATACCGGAAGTGCCGAAACGGTCCCGTTTTTCGGCCTCCCAAGGCTGCAGAGGGTTCCCTCGAGTCTCCAGGAGGGCGAAAACAGCCTCAAACAGGCCGAAAATCAGCTGGGAGGCCCGCACATGTGCAGTGCAGGTTAGGGGGCAGGGCAGGGGTGTTGCGCACACATGCACAGGGGGGGCGCATTGCATTGTGGGTGCCGGCATATGCACGTGTATGCACGCTATCGTGGCACACCACAACAAAAAGGTTTGCCATCACTGGTATAGGATTTCTTGAGTAGGGGGTTGGACTAGAAGACCTCCAAGGTCCCTTCCAACTCTGTTATTCTATTATTCTGGGCTCTCATATGGAAGTGGTTTGCCAATGGTTTTTTTCTGAAACCTCCTAGCCTTCAGTCTTCTAAAGAAATACGACTTCAGCCACAGAGTGGTCAGTGTCTGGAATACTCTACCTGACTCTGTGGTTTCTTCCCCAAACCCCAAAAACTTTAACCTTAGACTGTCTACTATTGACCTCACCCCTTTCCTAAGAGGCCTGTAGGGGGCGTGCATAAGCGCACCAACGTGCCTACCGTCCCTGTCCTATTGTTTCTTTTTATTTTTCTTATATGTATCCATGTATTCATAACTATGTTTTTTACTTATACCTATTATCTTGTAAGCAAATGACAAAAATAAATAAATAAAAATAAATAAAATAAAAATAAATAAGGAGCTCTCGTGTGTAAATATCCACAGCTTCCAGCCTTAATTGGCTTAGCCAATTGGTAGGTGTTTGACAAGTTTGGGGTTGCAATTAGAATTGCTGGAGACAAAGAATTACACAGCAGATCAGACTTTAGATTTTAGCATTATGAGTGAACAATGCTCATGGCTCATCCCCCTTTCTATTCAGATCTATTTCCATCCCTAAGTAACAAACACGGGGCTATTTTTAAACAATAGTCAAAGAGAAATATAAAGCATTAAACTCAGGCTGACTAACAATCTATACCATGCCTTGAACGTTGATGAGACAATTAGAGGGGCATGGCTGATGACTGCTTTCTTATTCAAAATTAGTCCCAACCACAATAATCAGCTTTCGTTCCAATTAAACATGAGTTTACAATTATTGCTCCGATGAGTTTCCAGCAACAGGCTAAGCTGCGGTGGTTGAATTTGGCCTTCCAGTGGTCTGAGTGAATTCAAGCATTCTGGTTTGTTAAACCATGATTTTTAAAATCTGTCTTAGCATGATTCTGAACCCAGTTTTGTAAACGAGCAAACTATGATCCCGAACCCAGTTTTCTAAAACTTAGCAAACTTTTTGAACCCCGATATCTATGGAAATTCTCAGTCATCCAAGTCAAGAGTCCTTAAGAAGCAACTAAACTTTCTGGTTTTTCTTTGGGCATTCCTCTTCAAAAAGCTTTTTCAGCTCTGGTCCAAAGGGCATAGCTAAATGTCCATGGAGATTCTCAATCATCCAGGTCATGGTTGTCCCAAAGGTGCTTTTTCAAGAGGCAACAAGATTTTCTGGTTTTTCTTTGAAGACGTTTCACTTCTCATCCAAGAAGCTTCCAGAACTGATGAAGCTTCTTGGATGAAAAGCGAAACACCTTCAAAGAAAAACCAGAAAGTCCAGTTGAAAAAAAAAAAGCATCTTTGGGATAACCTTGAACCCAGAATTGTAAACTGTATTTCAACACTTGCTAAACCCAAAGAGCTTTTATGTGGTGTGTTTAGTCTAAGTCAAAGCAAGGCTTCACTTCCCCATATTTTCCACCAAGAGGATTTAACATGTTTATTCTAACTAGAATTATTACGCTTAGCTGCTCTTTTTCATGAGTATATTTCTTCCCGACATTTGTTTACATCCCGTATCAACAGTGAGTTATTGCACTGTTAAAACTATTTAAATATTTTTGCAAACTATTAAGTTCAGCTTGTTAAACCAGATTGCTCTGAGCCAAGAGCAGTGCATTTTTAGTTAACCAAGTCACCGTGACAGTGATTTCCAACATAAAGTGGGGAAATAAAGCTTTATTCCATCCACGTTTATCTGAAGTATGGCTAGTCCTTGACTTACGACCACAGTTAGGATGCAGAATTGCTCAGTAACATGGTTGTTAAGTGAATCTTAATTGATTTTTTGCTACCGCTGTTAAGCAGTTCTTAAGTGACTCATCTGGTCGTTAAGCAAATCTGGCTTCCCCCATTGACTTGGCTTGCCAGAGACCAGCGGAGGAGGTTGCAAATGGTGATCCCATGACCCTGGAACACCACAATCATTGTGAATACATACCAGTTGCGAAGTGCCCGATTTTTCATCATGTGACCATGGGGATAACAGATAATCAGAGTTGGAAGTGATCTTATAGGTCATCTACTCCAACCCCCCGCCCAAGCAGGAGACCCTACACCATTTCTGACAAATGGCAGTCCAATCTCTTCTTGAAAGTCTCAAGTGATGGCGTTCCAACTTCTGAAGGCAACTTCTGTTCCATGGGTTGATTGTTCTCACTGTCAGAAAGTTTCTCCTTATTTCCAGGTTGAATCTCTCCTTCATCAGTTTCCATCCATTATTCCTTGTCTGGCCTTCGGGTGCTTTAGAAAATAGCTTGACCCCCTCCTCCTCTCTGGGGCAGCCCCTCAAATATTGGAAGACCCTTATCCTGTCTCCCCTGGTCCTTCTCTTCCCTAGACTAGCCATGCCCAGTTCCTGCAACGGTTGTAAATTTAACAGTCTTTATTAATTCACGTGCAGCATTTAATAGCAAAGGTTCAAGTTTTGTTTTTCTTGGCTCTTGGAACAGATTGGTTGTGTGCATTGTGTATTTGCATGCCTGTAGTGCCTATGTTGAGCAGGAACCATATTTACATGCAAATAACATAGCTGAGCTATACCCATATGGGAGGGGGGAAATCCTGTAACACTTTGTACATTTTATTCGGCCATCTGGAGATAAAATATTTTGGGAATCTCACAGATGCTCACATAGTCTGCATTTGTGATATGGGAAGGACGAAGGAAATATTTTAGGAAGGTTCCATTTAAAGAACGTTTCGTATCCTTTCTGTCCTATCTATAATTATAGCTTCAGTGCTTGTATCGGTAACAGCTCTCTGCTCTTTCTGATCCATTGATCTGAAGTTCACCCAGATGCAGGGTTGAAATATATTGAGCCCCCCCCACACACACACAGGTGGTCACATTAAAAAAAAAAGGCTTTCCTTGGTTACTCAACGATGTTCTGGCTTTGCACAATATATTACAATATTAACTTATTGAATAAGCAGATAATTCAACCCTGGGAAAAATTCTGGTGAATGTTAAAACGAAGCATGCTTCAATATATTGTATAAATCCAGGTGGTATCTGATCTAGCTATAGGTGAGCAAATCCAGTCTTTAGGGAATTTAGACAGCTGAAATTATAAGGCAGGTCCTGGCTGGTGGTACCAAGTAAAGAGATGTCTTGTGTTCCAGTTCTGGGTGAATTTCCAGATTTCAATAGAAGAGAATACAGCGTGTGTAGCTCAGGGTGGAGCTGTGGGCTCCTTGATGCTCTATGAAGTTGGTTTTTGGCTTGCAAACATATCATTGCCTGACGAGGTAAAATCACTACCTGTGATGACGTTACCTGGTCAGATAAGGAAACGTCTACAAGAAAACCACCAAGCTCAGAGAGCACCAAGGACCTCACAATTCAACTCCAGGCTATAAATATTATCTTCTATTGGAGTTGACTAGGGTAGTTCAAAGCACTGGAAGTTTATTTCATGCTGTCTATGCACAAGAATCTGATCTACCAGTCAAGGCAAATTGGTGCTGGATAAGAGTCAACGGAAGTCATGAGGGCTTGGACTTAGATCTCTTGTGAGAACATAACGGCTCCAAACTCATAACGCCTTTGACCCTGCCCTCATCTGTTACACCCACTATCTAAACTCTGGTTGTCTCACAGAGTGGTTCTTAATTGAATTATTACTATTCCAGTCTGTTTTTCTTTAACAAAACGACCACTGGTCTGAACTCTGAACTGACCATCGTTGACTAGCTAATTCTCAGAACATGGAGAAAAATGGTAAGGCACATTGGAAGTGGGGGGGATCTTGACCCCTCTCAAAATGAATGCAGATGTCCATTTGCAAGTGAAACGCCCATTTATTAATAGTTTCTATTAATTTTACATCTTCAGTCATTTCCCGAATTGTTTAGAATATTAAAAACGTGCTAAGGATCAGCTGTGCTGGCCTCTACCCCGCTGTCTTGCTAAAAAAAAAAAACCTTCTCCCCATAATTTAAATAGATATTAATTCAAATAAATAGTGGGCTACTTTAGAAGTCTTAGGCAATAAATAGTAGCAAAGCTCAAAAACAGCCCATTTGAATCCCGTAAGCAGTTTCACAGCTGGATAAAAGAGAAAAGAATCTTATCAACTTTCTTTTGGGTTTTTTTTTTCCCTGTTCCTCTTTGAGAGGCTTCAAGAAATCTGCATGATAAACCCACTTGTAAAAAAAGGGAGATTTAAAAAAAGCAAAAATATTCAAAGGAAGAGATATAGTTTTGCAGATGTGCTACAAACACAGCTCATCACAAATGCGTCTCAAGCACCAGATCGTCAGCTTGAAGGCCACAACGCTGAAAGACGCAAACAAATGTAAGGCACCTCAAAGTAAAAGCATTAGAGGATGCCGTTAAATGTATATTCTTTGAATTTTAAGCCCCCCCCCCTCCACTCCTTTGTGGCTTTTGGTATTTTTCCCAAAAGGGAAATGGGGCTCCCTGCCACAAAGCAACAGTGTCTCCCAGTGACCAAACAGGCACATCTTCGAAGCAACTTGGGTTTAGCAAAGAATCTTGACAGCTTTCACTGGCTTTGCTTAGCCAATTCTCACCGCCTACTATTTGTCCTGCTTTTCTAAAAAAAAAAAAAAGAGAGAGAGAGGGGGACACCATATGGCTTCAAAAGCCTCTGTACGCTTCCCCCTCAATTCTATACAAGGTTAGTCAAGTACAAGCAGTTGAGTTTGCAATTCTGCCCATATATGGATTATTGGTGGCTTTTGATTGCCATGGAAAAGAGAGAGAGAATAAAACAACGAATGTTTTACAAAATAGCTCAGTTGCAATCATTCACCGGTCGCTTTTTTTAAGCCGTCGTTGGCTATTCCAGATTCTCAAATGATAAGATATGTATGCCTTCTAGTATGCATATGAGAAATGGCCAAAAGGCATGCCACTTTAGCACTTGCTTTCTGTCCATCCGTATTTGTAGAACAGCAAGGTACAGTTGGTGGGTGGAGATAAGTGCGTCATTGTTTTAGAATTCGTGCATTGCCACAAACGGTCCAAATCCAACCTCTCTTGAATCCCATTGACGCTTATCTGGTGCCAATTTAGTAGTGAACTTTAGTTGACTAGATTCTTGTGTGTAGGCTTGAGCAATAAATCTACATTATGATATAGTGTTATCTGATTGAATATGAAAAATGTTGAAATGAATATATGATATTATTCGGTAGCTGAATAATTCTTCTAAGTTATTAACAAGAATAAAACAAAGGTGAATGTCAGCATTCCAGCAATCCTCCATTCCAATCAATAACTCTGAGACGGACATATCTCAAAGGTACCTTTATTTGGATAGTAACTGGTACATCTGTAGAATCCCGAATCTGAAAGTTTTGGGCTTCCTTGCAAAAGTAAAAACTAAAATCCATCCCCTATACCCATCACCATATCACATGGCCCAATCACCATCCGTCCCAAAGTAAGATTTTCTTTTCATTATGCGCAACACTACATGACCTTGAACCAGCAAAAGGATTTTATTTTGTTTAACAAGATGTACTCAAATGAATTCCTCCATCCCACTTTCTCAGGGTCAATTGTGGCAGCGTGGGAGCATCGAATCTCAATATGGCTTCCAAAGCTGACAGTGACCGTGCTTATGTTAAATTATGAGATATATTACAAATGACTTACAATTAATTCTCTCTCTTGTTGCCATGTTGTGTTCTTTAGGTCCCGATCACTTTAGTTCCAAGAGTCTTGCTTTACAAGCCCAGAAGAAGATTTTGAGCAAGATGGCAAGCAAGACGATGGCCAACATGCTGATTGACGACACCAGCAGCGAAATCTTCGACGAGTTGTACAAAGTGACCATAGAGCACATGAAAAACAAGAAAGAAGCCCACAAGGTTATGAAAGACTTGATCAAAGTCGCCATCAAGATTGGGATTCTCTACCGAAACAACCAGTTCAATGCGGACGAGATGGAGATCGTTGAGAAATTCCGCAAGAAGCTGAATCAGGCGGCCATGACGATGGTCAGTTTTTACGAAGTGGAGTTCACCTTTGACAAGAACGTTCTTTCGGGACTGTTGAATGAGTGCAAAGATCTTGTCCATGAACTTGTAGAGCGGCACTTGACAGCCAGGTCTCACGCACGGATCAACCACGTCTTTGATCACTTCGCCGCTGTTGAATTCCTCACTGCTCTCTACAGCCTGGATGGAGAATGCCGTCCGCACCTCAAAAAAATATGCGATGGGATCAACAAACTACTTGACGAGAAGGTCCTCTGAAACCCGATTTTCCAAAACTTTTAAAGAACAGATCAAATTAAGAGATGCAAACAGAGTTAGGAAAGGAATACAAGAGCCTGCTTCTCCTTTTTATAACCCACTCACTCCCCCCTTCCCCCGGACAAAATATCTTGGTAACAAAATACTTTTATTCTGGAACATGTGACATTCCGTTTGTAAGGAAAAGCTACCAGAAGCGAGATGTACTTCACCCCGCAAATAAAAAGAAAGGTTTTCGCACAGAGAACGGTTGACGATGCAAAAGAAATTGTGAAAATTGGAATTCAGCTCTGCAAAATAAACCTGAAGATCCATTTTGGAGAGGAAATAAAACGCCCCACATTTCCATTGCAGAAGAAAACTTTAAAATGGGGGAGAGAGAGCACCAAGCTTTGTTTTAAAAGAAAAACCACACAATCGAAGTCGAAAAATGAAGATGCAAGAAAATCAAAAGCACAAACAAGATTGCTTTTAAAGGATATAGTGTTTCCACTGACAATAATGGAAAAGTTGGCGTGATTCTCTTAACGACTCTAAAAGAGGAGCTATTTTAAAAGTTTCATTCCATAAAGTCCTCACATGTTGCTGCAGTTAGTACCAAAGCAAACGAAATTTGGTTCTAGAGCAGAGAAAGTTTGAAACTGACACTGGACTAAGCAGACCCTTTCAGACATCTTTTTATGCTGCAACAAGGGATGTTCTGAAAAGGAGCAGAGACTCCAGGTATGGTGGATTTCCTTGTAGCCTTCCATCATCAGTGTTTGCTTGGAGAGTCTGCTTGCTTGGAGGGTCACCGGGGAAAGAATGGACAATTGATGAGTGGTAGACACCTTGGGTGGTATGTAGAATGAAAGGGAAACCAGAGAGAAGAACAGCAGATGGCTGAAAGAAATGGGCCAAGCCAAACTACATCCATGCTGTGCCAAAAATATACTTGGTAATGCCCATGTTGACCCAAGGAACCAACACCCATAATTTTTTTTTACCATCTCCTTGGAGATACAATTGCTTAAGTTTGCCCATTTTTTATAACCTTCTCCTCCCCAAAAGCATTATCATTCTGGTCTGATGGCTTACTTGATTCACAATTTCCATTCAGGAAGTTGACACAACTGTATAGCAAAATGTTCTAGTCAAGAGCTGATAGAGAATTATTTCAAAGAGCATCAAAAGAACAGCGGTCCCTTGTTAGAAATGTTACTAAAGGACAACATATGTAAGGATTTATCCTGCTGATGACTCCCAAAGTCAATCTATTAAAAAAACTCAGTGAGTGGGCCTTGCCTGCAAATATACATGTTTCTAGCAAAAGAAAATGCATCAGGGGATTTGCAGAGTAGCAACTGTAAGTTAAGCCTAGAAGGCCATGCCACAGACAAGAGACGAGATAGTATTTGCTTGTTTTCTGGTAAATACTGTAATTGCATGAAAGCAGATTTGAGTACTTTAATTGCATGAAGTGCAAGTTCATACAATTACATTATTCATGACAGCGAATACTGTAATTGCAGGAGAGCAGCCTATTTAACTGCTTCATCTTACAGAAAGTGACTTAACAGGAATTAAATCAGGTTGTGTACCTGTTCTTGGATAAGCCATGTTTTTGCATCGTGCTTGCTTAATCATCTGTGCCAATGTAGCCATTATACCCCCCTAGGACAAAAGATGGCTTAAAGCACAACTTAAGAAACTTGTTTGAAAGCCTTGTTTCAGAGCTTGTCTTCATCCAATGGAAAATTAGCATCGAATCTTTTTTGAATGTACAAGAAACGGCCCAGTTCTCCATATCTACTCAATGTTGAGCAAACCTCTTTCAAGTTACTCACTGTGGCCAGACGCATCCCATTATTTTCAGCCAGGCAGGGTGTTACAGGCACATATTGGTGTTCAGACTTGGGACTATTTTTTTAAGGAGTCAAATGTCTTGCCATTTATATTTATATGAGACTTGAGTAGCCTTAAACATACGGAGGAGTATTTATGCATTTCCCAGACTGGTTCTACGCTGTACGTTCAATGTGTTTACTTTTATATTGGTGGGGTTACCATGTAAAACCATCAGTTCCACACTATCTATGGTGTTTGAGTCAGACGTAGTGTTTCCTTACCATAAATTATACATTAAATGATTTGTGATGAAAAGATTTTATCTCCTCTGGATGCTATTGTAATTTTAATCCTTCTCGCTCACGTCTATCTTCTGCTGTTTGGTGCCCTCCAAAAACAGTGGGGACTTTGACTACAAGAACCTTTGGCTATGAGATTTCTGATAAGAAGTCCTTGCAGGTTTTACTCCCACTAGTTGTAGCCTACTTTAGGGCATCTCCATTTCCAGGCCTTTGAGCCAACACTGTCCGAAGATGTTTCCACTGTCAGGTGGCCAAGCATGACATCATAACGCAGCACAGAGTGTGCAGTGAAACACAGAGCGTTGTTACCTTCCCATCGAAGTGGTACCTATTTATCTACTTGCATTTACGTGCTTTCGAATTGCTAGTTGGCAGGAGCTGAGGTAAGTGACGGGAGCTCACTCCATCATGCGCTGTTAGGACTCAAACCCCTGGAGCACAGACTTTCTCCGGTGTCTTTGAAACCTCTGAGCCACCACTCATCCATATGATTTTTGGACATCTGGAGAAATTATGACCCTATTCGGCTCATGATTAGAATAATTTAGGATAGAGCATGGTATTTTATCCAAGGACAAAGCTCCTTACTCTGCCACACCTAATCACTGTGAATGTTATAATTAACATGGGTGTTTTGATTATTCCTTATGGCCCTCTTCAGTATATACAGGCGCTGCAAGTTTAAGCCAGTTGGGTAGCATACCTATATTTGAACATCTGGGGTTAAAATGATCATTGCAACATGCCTAGATTTTGCATTACACAATAGATGTTATAAATGTTCCAGTGACCGATGCACAATAGTAGTTTGGTACAGCAGGATAATTTATTATATTGCAATTATTTTAAGTTAGGTGGTAATAAGAACAGTAAGAAACCACTTCTGCAAACAGTTTGAAAATAGAAAGGAAGTAGAGAGGGTACAATTAAGGAAAACCCGGTAAGTCTCACCAAGTTTTGTTTGGTTCAGATCTACATACTTGGCAGAGTAGGACAGTTAACATTTGGGGAAAAAATGGACAACAGGATCTCCAGGATAAATCTTTGTATCGGGAAATGGGTAGGAAGCTTCTCAGCCTCCAAATATGCTTCTACTACAACTGCAAATTATAGTGGAGGATTCTGGGAGTTGTAGTTGAGCAAGATCTGGAAGCCCAGAAGCTTAAACCTGATTTGATGACAGTGGCTAAAAACTGCATAGATTTGAAATTATAGCTTTCCTAAACTGTTACAGGATAAATCCTATCATATACCATTAACATTCATGTAGAAACAATATTTCCAATGTATTTATTCTTCCAACCCCTAAATCCTTATTTTTAATCCATAAAGGCATATATAGTAAACATGATCATACAACAGCCTCTGTATATAATTTAACCCAGGGGACTCCAACTTTGGCCATTTTAAGACTTGTGGACTTCAACTCCCAGAATTCCTCACCCATGCTGGCTGGGGAATTCTTAAAGTCGCCCAGGTTGGAGACCCCTGATTTAATACATTTTAAATACATTTAGTGCATTTTAAAGAATTCCTTTGTGACAACACTGAAAAATCAGGGAGGGGGAACCCCTACCAAAATTCAATCCCTTTGTTAGTTAATTGCATTCTACTTTCTTAAGTGAGAAAATTGGTGAACTTTGAAAGAGTGGATGTTCTACAGTTAAAACTGTGTGGAGTTCATAATGGATGGCTCTATTTTCTCTCACGGCACCTTGCAATCTACTTAGCAACAGAGTCTTCTTCTAGCCATTAACTACACCTACATATCCATATCCATAATTGTATGTTTTTCAGAAGAAGCTACATTACTGGGACTAAGAAATGGTAAGCGAAAGAAGTTAATAGCATAAGATAAGAAAAAAAAACCAAACCTAAGTGTTCAACTTTTGCAACTGGACTTCAACTCCCAGAATTCCCCTGCTAGCAAAATATAATAGAAATGCCACAAAATGGTGGCATATAAATTAATCATAATTTTACATTACCGATCAGTCACTCTCTCTCAGCCGAACCTACCTCACCATGGTTGTTTTTGTGGAGAAAACAGGAGGAGTATTAAATATGTTCGCCCCCTTGAGTTATTTATAAAAAAACAATTATGGGGTCCTCCCAAGGTCATCTTTTCTTTTATGAAAGTAAGTATATTTATACGTTTTCACATGGCCAAAGGTAGCGGGAAAATGGGGGGGAAACAGCTCACCAAGTCAGAAGATCTGGAAGTTAACGCAAAAACTGTAGAAATTCTGTATTGCATACCTAGAATCACACCACCCATCTCAAGCTGTGTTTGCAAAAAGGTACTTCCTTGATCACACCCATACCCATACAAAAAAAAAACCTGGTCATCCTACTATCTATCCATACCATAAAAACATTGAAGACAAACTCCCAACTCTGATGACTCTGATTGTTGAGGTACAGTCAACGGTGACCTGTGCCAAGAACTTTTCCACAGTGCCATGACCCAGCCATGATGCATGATGAGGCAATCATGGATATACTTACAAACTGAAGATTTTATCCCTGCATGTTTATTGTTGTTTCTATAAGTGCTTAAGAAGCCACCTGTCATGCCCCCATCAAGAGTCTGAATCCGAGGAGGAAGATGAACAGCTGACAGGGAATGGGAGTGTGGCTCCGTTGGCTGTGGAGGAGGCTGGGGAAGGGCAAAATCTGTCTGGGCAGAGCAGGGGAGAGGTAGAACAAGGGAGAGGGAGTTCAGAGGAAGAACCAGGCCCACTTCCTCTTCATCCTAGGGCATGCAGGGAGGAACGGAGAAGAGAGCAACGTAGGTTGTGTGGCTTATGGGGGAGGAAAGGGCCCTGATTCCCTTCATTAGCCGCAGCTGGGAAGACAGTTTATAAGAAAGCCAGGCTGCATGAGGCAGGCTGTTTGGAGCAAACATTACTTTATATCGTGTTGTTGTGGCTTATCTGTATTCCTGGTGTCTTCCCAACCGTGTGAGTTTTGCCATGCCTTCATGTCTGAAAATCTTGCTCCTGCCCTGCCAAACTAATTACTTCAGTTTGGCTTGTCTGGACTTAATTTTCTGCAGTCAAAGGCTGTTCCTGGGAGTTTTTCTCCAGCCAAAAGGTAACCTGGACATTGGGGGCAAAGTTGGAGATAATAAAGGGACTCTTATTGATTGTCTGTCTGTGTTGCCTTTGTGCAACACCCTGGGTCATCACACCACTTCAAGAGCTTCAGCAAAATAAGCAGTCCTCTGCACTAGGGAGTGTAAAGACTGAGTTATTCAAGTAACCGATCCTATGAATAATCCCATGAGTTATACCAATACATTAATAGAAAATATGCGCCTTGCATAACATGTCTCGATTCAGCTACCCGTACCTTACTGCCTTGTCAACGTCAGGTGAACATCCTGATCGGTTTTCCCCTCCCACTGGAAGGAAAGCCACACTGATGCCGAGATACACCTTCGCTCCGTGTAGAACAGAAGTTTGGGATTGGTAAAAACCCCTACGCACAATCACTCCTCTTTCATGCCAGTCCAAAAAAGGGAGTCCGTGTGGTTTTTCAGGATTCTTCCATCACCTTCTGACATTGATAAAGTAAACAATCTGGTAGAGCAGAACAAGGCGATCTGAACCATAAGGCCAATGTCCCAGCATGGAGCCGGCAGTGAAGAAGACACGGGATTGATGGAAGCAGTCGACAAGCGGCTATTCCCTCATTTCCTAAAGAAGGCATTTGGAAAGTTCTTAATATCTGGGTTTCAGGCACAAAGGACCAGGACCATACATGCAATTGCAGTTCAGAAGATTTATTGCTCGAGCCTATTTGTGACCACATATCAACTCTAAGCTGATAATGTGCTTAACTCCACCCCCACCCCAGCTCTGTTTGTTCTTCTCTTACACCAGGTCCTTTTATGGCACAATCACTGCAACACAAGTGGGTTTATTATTCAAAGAGAAAATGTCACACATTGCCTACGGGAATTTCCAATAACTTTCTGCTTCAGTAGGTGTGGGTGGGTGGGAATTGTGTGGTTTTTGTTTTGCTTTGTTTCTTGGATCCTAAGCTACAGTGTGACGCTTTATGAATACTGCTAGCTGAGGCTAGATTAAAATACTCATTTCCCCAAACACCCTTTTCTTTTCTCCAATGACTGAGGAAACAGCTGCCTCTGATTCCTGTTCAACTGTCACTCCCTGAGGTTTCAGTTTGGATGTAGAAAGGGGCGAGAGACACACAATTATTGAACATTTTCCCAACACTGAGAATTTGGGGGAAGTGGAAAATAACTACTGACTTCTTGTCTGTATCTCCGTGTTCTTAAAACCCTGAAAAGGGGGTCCAAATTTCTGAGGAAAACCCGAATGGTTTCAAATTACTTCAGAGAAGTAGCTTCACCTCAGCCAAAAGCCCAAATCATTCCAATTTTAGAAAAAAATGTGGTTTAATCTCAGAACTTCAGGATCATATATGTCATACATCTGAAACAATGTTAAGTTACATACCTATGATATCAACAGTATGTAGCTTCAGTTTTTGCTGAAACGTGTCTAGCATCAAGGACAGAGTTCCTTGAGATGGTGCCACCTTCAGATTTTGTTTGACTTCATTTGAAATGGAGAGCCACAGTTTTCCATATTCATCCGTGCTCATCTTCATTGGTCTGCAAACAGGGTTGTCGATAGAAATGAAGAAAAAAAAAAAACAGAAGGAAAAATTAAGTCAATTAAGTGTAATATTTAACATGTAGGATCCATCCTGGCTAGGTGCTGAAAGAAAAAGCAAAAAATTATCTTCCCCTTTTACACACACACACATACACAAGAAGACGAAAAAGCACTACACTAATCTTCAAATCCCTCTGTTAACCATCTATTATTATATAATATATATTTATTTCTTGTGGCTAAGATTGAATGTATGTTTTTGTTTTGTTTCATTTTGTTTGTTTTACTGTTTTATGTTTTATTTTCTATGATGAAAAACAATAAATTTTAAAAAAAGAAAGAAACGAAGAAAAGAAAAAATAAGTCTAAAGGAATGGGCAGCACTAATCATTTTACTTGATTTAATTAATCTACTATGCATTTTTAAAACTTTTCTTGAAAGATCGCCTTTCTATCTATTGGTCATGGATGGACATGCAGCCATGACAGTCAAGCTAAGAAAGATTTCATGAAAAACAGACGTTGGAGTAATCATTAAGATGAGCTCAGACTGATATCCCCCTACTACACTACCAGTACACTTTGCTGTCGAAGTAGCCAAAATATATAGACAGCTTGCTTACAAGTTGCCTGTTCGATCTTGGTACGTCCGTATTTATTTAACAATCTTGGAAGCATTCAATGTTTTCCAATACTAAAAAACCTAGGACAAGGAGGGAGAGGAGGTGGAGAAAAAAAAGAGATGGAAACCCAACTGTGGGAGAGAACCTTACCAAGGAACACTAAGTTTACGTTTCATATGTATTAAGAAAATTATTTTATATAGTTACCTAATGAAGTCTAACAGTTCTAAAGAGACAGAAAATCTGAGGTGGGCGTCCAATTCTAGCAGATAACTGATGCGACCAAAGATTTTTCCTGAAGAGCAGGGCTTCTCCATCTCTACATACATCTGGAAGCTTTCTATATTTTTACTTTCTATCACAGCAAGTTGGCAGCCAAGACTTTCTACCATCTTCAATATAAAAGAAGAAGAAAAAAAACCACGAGTTAAAAATGCTTTTTTTGGATCCAATACTAGCAGAAAGAGCCAAAGGGATGCTAAAAAGATTACCTTAAAATGTTCAGAGTGCTGGAATTCCAGAGTTATGTCTTTCAGAATGGAAGGGCTTTTATTGGCGAGAAATAAAAAAATGAGAAGACTGTCCTCTTTCCAGACCTTAGAAAAATATACAAGCAAGGACTCGTTGCTGCAGAGTTCTGAGATGTCTGAATGAGGATGTTGGGCTGCTTCTTCTGGGAGACGAGGCGTCGGCAGAAGTTGCTTCTGAACTAGAGCGGGAGAACTTGGGGAAGGATGGAAAATGTCCATGTGATCATGGGGGAATAAAGAAGATGGTGAAAACTGGGCATCCAGGGACTTTTCATTCAGCCCGCCTTCCGGCAACGAATGGGAGCGATCGAGCGTCGTCTTGGATTCAGGCATTTCAGAAGAATGTAGGGATGCTTTCCTGAACTTCAGATGTCCGTTGTTTACAAAAAGGTCCTTCTTTCCGGTTAACCCTTCCTGAAATAGGGAAGTGGGAGGGCTGCTTTCCTCAGGCGATGAACTCTCATTAGGGAGGGCTTCGTTCATTTTCGATTTCCGTATAAACTTCTGAGCTGCGGGATCTCCTTTGCCCATCTTTAAAAAAAACGGGAAGTAAGCGGGACCGGAAAACAGGATTAAAACGGAAACCGAAGTCTGAATGGACCATCTCGGCCAAAGCAACAAAGGTTGGGAAAGGGAGGGGAGGGAGGGAATCCTAAAAAGGTACCATCCATAAGGTAAAGGTTCCTCTCGCACCTACGTGCTAGTCGTTTCCGGCTCTAGGGGGCGCTGCTCATCTCCATTACAAAGCTGAAGAGCCAGCACCATCCGAAGACGTCTCTGTGGTCATGTGGCCAGCATGACTAAACGCCGAAGGCGCATGGAATGCTGTTACCTTCCCACCAAAGTGGCCCCTATTTTTTTTCTACTTGCACTTTTATATGCTTTCGAACTGCTAGATTGGCAGAAGCTGGGACAAGGAACGGGAGCTCACTCCGTTATGCAGCGCTAGGGATTCGAACCGCCAAACTGCCAACCTTTCTGATTGACAAGCTCAGCGCCTTAACCACGCACGTCCCCTTAGTTTATTTATTTATTTAGATTTATTTAAATTTAGAGCCAGTTTGGTCTAGCGGGTTAAGGCGACGGGCTAGAAAGCAGGACGCCGTGAGTTCAAGTCCCGCTTTAGCCACGAAAGCCAGCTGGGTTACTTTGAAGTAGTAACTACCAGGAGATTGGGAGTTCTACTTTCTTCCCCTTAGGCATGAAACCGGCTGGGTGACTTTGGTCCAGTCCTTCTCTCTCAGTAACTCACTTCACAGGGTGGTTATTGCAGGGAAAATAGGAGGAGGAAAGGGTATTAGGCATGTTCCTTGCCTTGAGTTATTTATAAAAGCAAGAAAGACAAGAAAGACAAGAAAGACAGAAAGGAAGGAAGGAAGGAAGGAAGGAAGGAAGGAAGGAAGAAAGAAAGAAAGAAAGAAAGAAAGAAAGAAAGAAAGAAAGAAAGAAAGAGAAAGAAAGAAAGAAAGAAAGAAAGAAAGAAAGAAAGA